TTACAAAAGTTATAACATTTAAATAAAATCATATGAGTGCAAAGAATCTTTAGAAGGAGAGCAGTTCAGGGTTTGTCCAAGTCTTATTGCGCATACAGAATATATAATAGGATGTGCGTATAATTATTGCTGACAGTTTTTTAATTATGGAAACATTTCATTTTCAATTCAACTTAAACTACAATTACAAATCTCACTATTACAAGGTAATTTGCAATTGGCTAGCCTGGTTTTACAAGAAAAAACTATAACAATCGTAAGGTAAAAGGAAAAACTGAGAAAAATAAAACAACCAAAATTAAAACGGATGTAATTCCGGATTTGTCCATGGTTTATTTTTGCAACAAAATATGTAGTACGTAGTACGGATGGCAATGTTGGAAAGTTTAGAGATGAGATATCGTTTTTGTTGTTGATCGATGGAGAGAGAGTCACACATTTTGAAGAAAGAGATGCAGGAATTGCCAAAGATGCCAAGAGAGCTCATAGAAAGATTCACAAAAGAGACACATTTGAACTTTCGCTGTAAGTCAGATAGGAGAGGAGCATACTTGCTGTGTTTTCTTGTTGCATTTGTGTCAAGATTGGATTCAAAACCAACAGTAAGCTCTAAGATGTATAGGTAATTGTTGTTAGTCTTCAAGAGAAGATCTGGGCGAAGGTTTTCTCCAGTTATGATTGATGGTGAAAGATAGCCAGGTATATCAGCGTAGATGGTAGATTCATTAACAGCTTTAAGAGACGTAGCTAAAAAGTTTAAGATAGAGTTATGACGCCAGGTGTATCGGCCTTGTTCCAAGTATGTTTTGCAGCCAGCAACAACGTGAAGGAGGGTTTCTGGCAGAAAACAGAAAGAACAATCAGAAGTCTGGCTCAAGTTCCACTTTTTCAAGTTTTTCTGTGTAGCAAGGGTATTGTTCAGGTACCTTATGGTGAAATTGAAAATATTCTGAGGCATGCTACTTTGCACCTTGGACCAAAGTTTGTTTATTTGTGGAAGATCCTGGTTAAAAAGATGTGACAATAAAGATCCTTGGGAAGTTAGAATGTTTTGCAGACGATCTTTATGTTCTTGCTGGACAGCCTTTAATGCTTCTTTCGTGTTCCTATATATATCATATTGTATATTTGTGCTACTGCTGGTATTTTTCCATAAAGAGCGAATGTTATCGTTTGGTGAAGATTTCAATGCGTTTCGTAAAATAGTTTGACACTGTAGGAATTTGGCGGATGGTAAAGTTAGGCTGAGTCCAAACTGGTTTTTAGAAAGAATAATGCTACTCAAGGTAGCACTTATTGGGAGGTCGAGCCACTGGCGGATGTATTTGGATACAAGGTTGTCAAGATTCTCGACAACCCACGTCTTTGAAAGATCTGCTACAGTAAGGTTCCAAGAGATTTTAGAAAGAACAAAGTTGTGATAAAGAAGCAACTTATTTTTTGCATGTAGAGGCTGGGAATCAATTTGTTTGAACATGTTGGACAGTGATGATAAAAGATCAGATTTATGTTCTTGGTTTGTCATTTCAAAGTCAAAATGACGACCGAGGTACTTAAAAGAATTTCCATTCGAGACAGGTGGGATAGATTCGTTGTTTATGAAAAGCTTAGGTTGATACTGAAGAGAACGTGTGGAAAATTTCTTTATTCCAAAAGTGATGCATTTATCGACACGTATGATCATGTTAGCCCATTGGCACCAGCGAGTGAAACAATTCAGTAGAAGTTGGTTTTCTTTCTCATTGCTGGTGATAACGGCAGCATCGTCTGCGAATTGAAACCAATGGACTGGTTGAAACATACGGTCATTCTGATCATGTGGGGAGAAACCTAACTGTTTGTATTTTTCAGCTTTTATGTACTGTATGAATGTGTTGAAACATAGATTAAATAGTAGAGGACTGAGGCAGTCGCCTTGAAGAACACCGCGACGGACTGGAATAGCAGGAGTATTATAGTGGCTTGTGATGATAGAGGTTTTAAAATCGGTGTAAAGGCTAGAGATAAGAAGTTGTATGTTGTCAGGAATATGATGGTAAGATAGTACAGTGGGTATCAAATTATGATGTACTTCTCCAAATGCATTTTTAAGATCGAGAAGAGTGACAACTAGTGAACGTTGCTTGATACGAGCTTTGTTTATGACCTGAGCCATCATGGCAGTATGCTCTAAGGTCCCTGAAATATTCGAGGTGAAGCCTTTTTGTATTTCGTGCTCAATGAGACCATTAACTTTAAGAAAATTAAATAGACTGTCACGCAGGCATGATGTGAAGATATTCAAAGGCACTGGCTCAAGAGTGATTGGCCTGAAGTTTGCTGGATCGTCATTGCTACCCTTTTTGTGAATTAGGATAGTGCATGCCTTTTTCCACTCTAAAGGAACTTTTTCAGAGAGCCAGATATTATGAATGATATTTGTTATCAAAGAGCGTAAATATGGACATCGTTTAAAAACAATGATGGAAATTTTGTCACGGGGACATGGAGTGGCTGAAGATTTCATACGCCGAATTACTGATGTGATCTTTTCATAAGAAGGAGGCTCCAAAGGAAAAGGGTGGTCAGGCTCCCTAAGAGATGGAATCCATGAAGGAATAGAAAAGTTTTTGCATGGCAACAGAGAAGAAAACATTTTAAAGAAATACTGAGAGCATTGATCTCTGGAAAAGGATGGCAGCAGAGTCGAGCTTGTTTGGAGAACGCGTTTGACGTATCCCCAAAAACTCTTTGAAATGAAGTTATCGTGATTTGAGATGTTTTTAACTACGGTAGAAGCAGATGAGTTAAGTCGTTGTCGTAAGAGCCGTGAAACGTATTTAATTTCAATGACAGGTGCGCCGTTTCTTTTCAATAACTGTAGTTCTTTTTTCAATTTTTTGGTAGCATGGTCTTGATATTTTGCAGCAAGTTCTTCATTTACTTCTTCGACAAATCCGCAAGTATCTCTGAAATAATTATAAATTGCTTGATTCATTGACTGTATGGATTGATCAATTGAGGACAGGTCCATGGGGTTGATTGTAAAAAAGTATTTGAAGTATTCGTTTGCGACAGTCCATTCTTCGTTTGACCTTGGAAGACAAACGCCAGGTTTCAGTTCAAAATATTCATTCAAAGAGATATCGGCCAATACAATCTCATTGTCTAGGGTTTCCTCTGATACCTGTTCGAAAGTGTCGTCACTTTGGAAACCGCTAATGACTCGACATCTCCTTTGATGCATTTTCAATCCTTTCATCCCCTTGCATTCTTTACCACAGGAGCATTTGACAATTCTTTCGTTGATGACAGACGCGCTTTCATTTTCTATTTCAATAAATGGAATGTTAATTGATCCCGACGGGCCACTGTCATTGTTGTCCAACCGTCGCTTGCACCTCCAAGTATGGCGGCCTAAGGCCTGAAATTCTTTACCGCAGAACGAACAAATTGCGAAAAACAGCAATATCCAAAGCACGAACGAACGAAACATATTCAAAAAAAAGATACTTTGTTGACACAATAAAAAATAAGTAGTATTTGAATCCGTTGATGTAAGTATCCAGGCAGTTAAATAGCTATAAAACGAGAGCCGTGCACGATGGCATCTGTGCGCCAAAGCTCAACGACCATAATAATAATAATAATAATAATAATAATAATAGTAATAATAATAATGGAAACATTTCATTTTCAATTCAACTTAAACTACAACTACAAATCTCACTATTACAAGGTAATTTGCAATTGGCTAGCCTGGTTTTACAAGAAAAAACTATAGCAATCGTAAGGTAAAAGGAAAAACTGAGAAAAAAAAATAAAACAACTTAAGTTAAAAAGGATGTAATTCCGGATTTGTCCATGGCTTATTTTTGCAAAAAAATATGTAGTACGTAGTACGGATGGCAATGTTGGAAAGTTTAGAAATGAGATACCGTTTTTGTTGCTGATCGATGGAGAGAGAGTCATGGAAACTTTTCATTTTGAATTCCTGTTAAAACTACAATTACAAATCTCACTATTACAAGGTAATTTGTAACTGGCTAGCCTGTGTTTACAAAATAAAAACTATTACATCGTAGTAATGAGAAAAAAGAATTGTTAAAAGGGGTGTAGCTCTGGATTAGTCCAAGTTTTGTTTCTACAGCAGAATATATAGTATGTGGTGCGAATGGAGATGCTTGTAAGTTTGGAGATGAGGTAGCGTTTCTGTTGATGATCAATGTTACAAATTACATTATAGATCTTTACATATAGATACAGAATAGGATTCATATTTCTTGGTGCATCATCTCCGTCTCCGGTAAAATCTAAACCATCATAAAGTGGGCTATGTACAACTCATGTTTATGTATACCACTTTATTCTGGAAAGAAACGCTGTCCTGAGCTTGCATGCCGAATTGGGAAGCCTGAGATAACCCTACACGGATGAAAACTCTGTTAAATGAACAAATAAATAGCATCCTTGGAGAGATGCATAGTGAATTTATGGAAACACAGTTGGTGGAATTCAAGTTGGAAATGCGAACAACCACAGAAACATCAAGAAGGCAGGTACTCTGGCAAATGCCAGTCTTGAAAAGATTTTTCAGTCTTCTCTTATGCGCAAAAATGACCGCGCAGCATATTACGGACTGAGGGGTCCAATTTTTTTTTCGAGTGAGGGGGGGGGGGCTAAAAATATTTTTATTTTTTTGGGGGGTCTAGAGTCTCCTCAGCCCCCTTCCCCCCGCTTCCACGGTCTTCACAGTCAGCCTTAATTGTATGGAATTGTATTTAGGATTGACCGATTACTGATGAAAATATTAGACTGAAACTAGAGCACTTCTCCACATTCTTAATAAAAAAAGTACTATGAGCATCCCTCCTGTTAGCCTGTGCCAAGACCCTCTACTTTCAGGTTAGGGGTGTGGAACACAGGCTAACCTATTGTAAGTCGACCAGAACTACCCCTCCCCACTGCCCCTCCCGCACTCTTGGCCCTTCAGCACTGCGAGGGGGCTGGGCTGGACACAACAGCAACAGCACCAACTTTTTTAATGAAGATGGACGACTGAAGAAATATTGGTAAAAGTTCCACGAAGGAGAGAAAATGGATATTGTTAACCCTCTGATCGTTGCTGTTGGAGGAAGAAGATACAGAAAACTGTACGTTGCCACCGATGACAACAGTACCAATTATTCTAAAAATCCTTTAAATGAAATTTGTGGTAAGTTTTGAATGACAACTAGTTTTTGAAACTGAACCAGCAGACTGCAGAGTATGGGCAAGTGCACACACTAGATTATTTTTTCTTAAATGTCCATGCACACCTGGTAATGGGTGTGGCATTTTGAGATCTGGGCGTGACTTGGGTTTGTCCTAGGTATTTGCTTAAGGCAAATGAAAAATTAAGTTCCTCAAGATCGACACAACCTTGCAATTATTCTAACGTGATTTTATTACCGATTTGTGGTGTTGCAAGCTTGAGTTTGTTGACGAGTGAAAGCCAAAAAAGCTTTCCGTATACTGTAAAATATTTGCTTTTTTGTCAGACAATCGCATTGATTCTAAATTGTAAATTGATCCTTGACTTGATAAATGATTTCCTTGAACCCTTACAGTGTTATTTTTTTAATAGCAGCAAACTGTAAAATGTAAAATATAAGCCAAAGGCATTTACAACATTATAACCACCATGATTGATTCTACCGCGAGCTCCAACCATGGTGAAAAGATTCTTTTCCAAAATCATTTTTAGAAAGGGGCATTCATCTGGAGCAGATTTACCAGTGGGTGTGGGGGTTGCCCCAACCCACCTATTTTTGTGTTCTTCACTAAATTTTGCTTTGATTCGGTAAGGATGCATTTTTCACTAGTCAGTAGTAACAAAATGGGCGCTAATGTAGTTTCGCACCTCTTGGACACTGATCCTTACCCAAACCCTATCCTTATGTATGGAACCACATGCTGAGAGGTGCAAAACTGCAATAGTCCCACAAAATGAAGTAAAAAGTAGGATTTATTTATCTTGTTATCTTCTTGATCTGAGAGTTAAAGATCAAGTTTTAGAAATGGGCGTTTTCATGTGTTTCCAGTCATATAAAGGATGTGGCACAAAATCCACTCCTGGTATTCATATATGGCTATGTTTGCAGCTTGACTTGCAGAATCAGATCAGCTTTGTTTCAACCTGGTTTTTTCTTGCTCTTTCCCTATAAACTACAGACCTTTAAATTGTCTAATGCATTATACAATTCCCTGTAATAAAACCTTATCTTCTCATTTCCCTTACGGATAGCGCAAGCTCAATGGGAAGATGAGCAATGTGATGATGAAGAATTTCTTTCTGTGCGAAAAACTGCTGATGGTTATATTGCCTATTGCACTGATATCCCAAGCTATTATTTTAAGTTCATCTGTGGCAGGAAGAATGAAAGCAAGAGCAGAATAGAAAAAGAGACAAAAACACATGTTAGCATTCCACGGCCGGGTAGAGAAGGAGATGTAGGTATGTATTCCTTTACCCCACCTAAAGTTGCTGGGCCCTTATAAGGAACAATTAAAAGATTATGTGAAGGATGCATGCACTCTTCTAGCAGTAGACCAGGCATATACAGTGGTGTAGTTGAGGGTTAACACGGCATAATGCTGTTACGCTTCCTAAAATATCTGAGCTGCATCGTTTAAAGTACCTACTCAAGCAAACAGTAGCATTATTTTTCATTAATATCAGTATTATTATACAGGCTTTCCTTGGTTATCAAGCATGACAGCTATTTTATGTACCTCACTGGCCAGATCTCGATAATCCATAAAGATAATACATAAAAGATAATGATGGGCCATTTTACATTAATTTAAATGTCACCAACATCTATATTTACAGCAAAGCGGAGTCTGAAGAGGGGGCTATATGGGGGTAGCAAAATCCGCAAATCTGCTAAATTTCTATTGCATAATTGGCAAATCTGCTACTTTTTCTAAATTAGTGATCGAAAATGAAAATCTTATTCACAACACTTAATGTTCCATATAAAACTTGGAGGCAAAAATGTCTGCTATAGTCTTCTATGTCTGGATTTGTTCACTGAAATGCCATAAAGCCTTGAAAAGATGTAAATGTTTGCACAAATCTCTTCTCCATTTTTTGCATCATAAAAAGTGCATGTTTGCCAATATCTGTTTTGCCGATGAAAAATAATTAGTCCCTCGAGAAATAGTGATGAATATAAACCAGGGAAAAAATAGACCAAAATAACGGTGAAAATTTGTAGACAAGTTCGTCATATCAAGGAAAATCTTGATGAATTGTCATACAATTTGATTCATAAAAACGAGAGTTTGTTATATACAGGATTCATTATACAAAGGGAATTTGTATGGGGTTCGGCAGAATCCAAAGGGCCAGACATATTTGTGTTATACCAGAAAATTAGTTATAGCCAGGTTTCATATTATCAGGATTCCACTGTTAATTTGTCCTATGATTATTTCAAAGTCTTAACTTAATCCGCAATCCTGACAAGGTGTTAAGCCTTTTTTGAAATGGCATGAAATAATAGTACAAAGGAAAGATTTACATTTAAACCCGTCTCAAAAATCAACAAAACCAATCATTGATAGAGAATTTTGCTCTCAGAATAAAAGAAGGCATCTGATATCTTGCACTCCTCGAAGGCGGTAGGCGTGCGCCAGGGCATGCGTGGGCAATTGCACACCTTTCCGACGAAAGCCTGATTATAATAGATATAAGTACAGATAGCCAATTTTTTTATTAGACAATATAGCAAATAAATTGGTTAGGCTTTCAATACTTGTCTCAACCAAGGCTTGAGTGAAAGTGATTAGAGACACATAAAGATATCGCAATTGCATTTGTGACAAATTTGGTATCTGTAGTTTGAAGAGCCTTTTGTTGATGATTGTATAGAGTATCATAGGAGGGATATTGTTAATTGGTCAAAATGGAGATCATAGAAGAAGTAAATGAATATGGTTACTTAGGTCATCTACTAATACCTGAAAAGAAAACAAATAAGAAATTTGACAGATGAATTGCTGCAGGAGGGCAAAGATTTGGGCAATATGACAATTCATGAGAAAAAATCAATGCTTTATATGTGAAGAAAAGAGTAATGGATGGAGTCATACTGCTAGCAATAACATAATATGGTGTGAAAACATGGTCACAGGCATCAATTGGCAGAGGCTCAGAAAAGCATGTAAAAAGCAATGTTTAATATCATATACCTTAACAAGTGAGCAAATGGAAGTTGAAGATCGCAAACCAAATGGTTTCCCATTGAAGAACACTCAGACAAATATAAGTGGTAAATGGGCAAGCAATGTCTCCAGGATGGAAAAAAAATAAACAAAAAAGATCACTTAGTGGATACCATTTTCAACAAAAAGGATGCAAAGGTCTTAAAAAGGGATGAAAAGATGATCTGCAGAACATCACATGTATATTTATCACTAGGATGAGATGCATGAAATATAATGCAAACAGTTGAATGCTCAATGCAGAGATGTCTTACAAAGCACAAAAATATATTATTTTTCTGAAAAGGGCCAATGAAACCCTGTTTTTGTTTTTTAATTATTGTGTTATACTTGCTGAGAAATTATGATTACACCACTGGGTGTATATTACAGAAAGGGTAACATCTCTCTAAACTTTTTTGTCACATGATATCTAGCTACCCTTACCCTCTGGTAATGAGAAAATTTTTGGTAAACAGCAAGTACCTGCTCCGTTTGCCAAATATGGACATTTTCCAAAACCAGCCTTTACTGTATATACCCTTATTCTACTTCAAAATAACACATTATTTCTGTTATCAATGCAGTCTGATAGAAGATTAATGTTTAAAATCTCGAATTGATACCTTAAAAAGACGCTTTTGGATTGCTGTCAATGGCTCAGAATATAAAGTAGTTCTATGTTTCAAAGAAGGAAAGAAAGTCACAGTAAGCTAGAATGTGACTTCCGAACTCATTGCTCCTCTTCTTATGATAACAAAAAATCTGACCTGACTAAGTTATAGAAGAAGCAGCCCCATACTCTTCATGATAATGAGAAAGATGATAATGAAGTTGATATTTAATGAATTTTTACACATCTATTTAGGGTTTTCTTCTATACCATTAAGAATATAAACCAAAGTCCATTGCAGAATTTATTTATGTTATTTGTATTTTTTCTTGATCAATATGAAAGAATGCCCTTCTTTTTAATGCCACCTAGGACTCATACACCCTTTGAAATAAGAAATATTCAAGGAAAACCCCTGGATTTGCACTTAAAATTAGAAAAATTAGGCAGATATTCACAAAGTTGTTTGAGCAGAAGTTTGGTAATTTAATTGGTGTTCCATTCTTAAATTTGTTTTCTTTCTCATAGTTATCACTGGTCCAGAGAGAAGTGGTGTTTTGTCAGCAAGATCAAGAGTCAACCTTATTGTTGAATCTGCAAGAGGCAGGGCCAGACCTACCCATTTTATCTCAATACCTCTTGCATGCGCTGCTACAAAAGAGAATTTTGAAGATTTCAAAAGTACTGTGCTCCAGGACTGCAGAGATGTTAGTTTTTCATTTGTAGATTTCCATAATTCAGCATCTAAGTCGTGTGCTCAATTCATCTGATATGAAATGTCTAGACAAAAGAAACACCCAAACAAGGATCACCACAAAAGAGCCTTTTGGGGGGTTTTAGGAAGATAACTTTAAAGAAAAGTTTTTAAAAGAGCAATTTTGAGCATCTGCTTTCAACCTCTGCAAATCAAAAGTTCCTCATACTTGATAGATTTTTCAAAGTTAAGTAATAAGGCATTAGCAAGTTTATGGAGATGACAAAACTACAGACCTGTTTGCATTCTGATTGAGCCTTGAGCTAGAGCTACACTATACCAGATTGTTATCGGAATGGCACAGAACAGAATAACTTTTAATCCAGAGATTTGGGGTATCAGCTACAATAGGACACTCTGATTGCTCACATGCCTGGATTTCTTTGAATTACCAGTCCACAATGCAGCAGCCATTTGCAATATTATTTTTAAAGTGCACCATCTTCAATTTTTTGATTATCTGGTTGAAGCTGTGTGCTAAGTTATTAACACGTTTTCACAGAATGCGAATTTGTTTTTTAAAAGCAAAGTATATCAATTTGTGCGATTACACTACAGTGCTCTGCTGCAAAGTGACTCTGGAGCGATTTTTGTATTACCTCATTTCAGTAATTTTCACTGTGCTGATCAAAGCTTTGTGCAACAGATTGGTGTGGCGTTAGAAAACTCAAACCCTTTCTGATATGAAAGTCACTCAGCTCTCATAGCAATCCTTTATAGTGTAACTGGCAACAATTTTTTGGGGGAAATTTCAAGAACCATCTGGCTTCACAATGCAAACCCTTTGGTTTTTCTCTTGTGGTCACCTAGGCCCAGAACAATGAAATTGATGCAAGGAAATAACACCAAGTCTGAACATTGACAAATTCTGAAATTTAGTGAAGTAGCTCTTTAAAAAGCTTCATTAGTTTGCAGAGGCCAAACAAAATGGTACCAGGTGTTACATGTTCTGATGAACAGAAACCAATCGCTTTTTCTTTTCAAAGCAGCTGCAAATTGGTGTCGTATAGAATGAAAGGTGTAAGGCCACTTTCTGACTCTTAATGTATAAGAGTTTAAACATATTAATTTTATATATCGTCTGCACCCACATAATGGAAACGCACAAGTTCTAATGTATTTTAAATTAAACGGTTCTTTTTCAGAAATGCCTTCCATGCATGGAGAGACTTCCTGTATGTAATAAATGGAAAGATTTGGGGGAGAGAGCCGAATTTGCCCTAGGAAAAATATATCTTTTCCCTGGTCATACCAATTAAATTGTTTTCTTCACATTTTCAATTTTGCACCATTTCTGATCTTCTGTGTAAATTCCACAATAATTTTTCCATCAAATTCGCAATTGTGATAAGTCAACTCATCTTTTATTTGCATAAATAGAGAACTAAGGGAAGAAGGCTACTGTTGAAAAACTCTTTTTAAGGATATTTTCATCTTATTAATTGAAATGGTTAACTCAAAGTGTAATTTTGAGAACAATTTTATGTGACTAGATAATTTTGCGATGTTTTATTGAGCATCTCATATTTTTCAATCTTGTCATAAATGTGACCTCGGTGGTTAACAGAATTTGTCATTTGGAAGGACAATAGTCATTTTTTCATCAAAATAAATATCATTGTTATTCAAATATTGTTTGTTATTTTAGTTGATGTTTTTCTTAAATATGTGTTGATTAGTCTTTACAAGGTTGCATGTTATAAATCCTTTTTAAATCGCTATTTCTCTAGTGCAAAGGATTTAGTGAAGAAATCATTCAGGTTCCAGAGAAGCTTCACATTACTATGGGTGTGATGGCTCTTATGAGTGAGCAGGAAATTGTAAGTAACCAAATACACTTTTTTTAATTTATAAGAAACTTAGATCAGGGCTAAATACTAAAAGTTTCTTAATTTGGCATCCATCTTTTTCGGGAACTAAACTTGCCTTATTGTTTTGAAGTTGAGCATTTTTGGTAAGATATAAACGCAGATCGTCACGATAGAAACCCATGTTGATCGAAATCCAAATGCTGCTATCTTTTCCAAAGGGAAGTCAAAACTTTTTAAAACAAATCTAAACAAGAAAAACTTTTGGCATCCTTTTCTAAAAATGGAAACTTTACAGTGTTTTGGTTTTTCTTTAGCCTAGTACTAAAGTTTCTTAAATTTTTGGCCATCCCAGTACTAGTTTCTCATAAACCAGTTTCTCACAAATAGAAAACATGAATGTTTTCGGTTTTTGGTCATTGATAGAATGGGTGCACTGTCTATGGTGTTCGGAAAATGAACCCTCCTTAAACCTTATTTGATTGTTTATTGCACTTTCAATTGAACTTGAACTTGGGTGTATCAGAGTCCAGAGTGCGGCATTTCTTTAACTTGGAAAGCTAAATTGAGGAAAGAGCAGTCGTAAGTCTACGGTCAAAGGCTCAGAAATGCCCTGAATATGAGGAAAAACGAACCTGACAACATTTCAGATATCACCTCCAATAGAGGTTCTTATTCAAGCCCGAATAATGATCGAAGTAAATCAAAAGATTTGAAAGCTTCAAGAGTGATAAAGAGAGTCAAGTGTCTATGAGAAACGAAGCAGGCTGAAATTTTGCTATCATTTGGAATAACTTAGGCCAAACTAGTTATAGTGAAGTTAAAATGAGTTAAAGAGGTCCTTCATAATAGTAAAATGAGATGGTATTTTTAAGCTGGCTCGCTTCAATGTGCGTGTGAAAACGGAAGGTAAGTCTGTTGATAACTTAAAAACTGATTTGTAAACACTTGCTGATTTTTGCTATTCCAGTAAACTACATGATGTAGGAATTCGAGATAGAGTTGTAGTTGAAATAAGACAAAACGCCTTGTCAGAACGGACTGAATTTCGTTCTACAGAAGAAAGTTGCTAGAAAACAACAAAGTTTAATGACACTTTCAGTATTCACTTAGTCAAATTTGAAAAGCTATCGGACCTTCAGACAAGTGCTGCCTCGGCTCCCAATCAATAACTGAGAGTCCTGTGGCAGTTCTCAAAAACGAGTTGTACCACCTGTAAGCATTGTGAGCCGACCAAAGAAGGTTTTATCAAAACTTTATCACAAAGCTCGTGACAAATTTGGACAGCAAGTGAGGTGCTCTGTAACATAACATGTTAGAAAAGGAAGTGTTCTGTTAATTAATTTGCGTTCCTTCTTGCGCAAGTAGTTTAGATACGACACGGGAAACTCCCCAAGGAACTACATGAACTGTAAACATCTATTGTATAAAAGGAGACAGTCAATTTTGTGTAATGAACGGTTATTATTTGCTTGAAATACAAGTAGTATGCTATCTCACTGTATAACACTACGTCCAACAATGTCTGTACAGTTCTTATGTAAACATTGTTAACCAATTGTTATCATAAAACATAATATTTGATATTCTTCACTGTAATTACCTCAACACTATGGTATCATAGACGATCTACAGCCATTCCCTTCAACCTTTTGTAGAAATATAAATTCTTTCCGTATGCAAATTTGAAAGGTAGACCTTGCGCTAAATTTTGTGCCAAGCAAATCAAATTTTGCCGCTTATTTTCTTCCTCTGTACGATAAAGCACATAAGGCTATTGTGGATGGAATTCCAGAGATTGACTTTTTGGTATATGATTTTTGGACATCCACTTTATTCTTATTCTTTTTAGGGTAAGGCAGCTGTTTTATTAAAAGATCTTCAGGATGACATTCAAAAGTATGAACTTTTCTTCAAAAGACATTTGATGGTTGTTTTTTTATTCAGAATAAAATATTTTCCCGAATCTTATTACAGCCTCAGAGATATAATAACAGATTTATGAAATTTTAAAACATTCACTTACGCATTAGAAACTTTCCCTCATTCACTAGATTTTTATGTTGTCAATTTGCCATGCTTGTCAGTATAAAAGGGGTCAGTTTAAGAAGCTGGCTTTCCTAGCCTGGTAGCAAATTTTAATGATGCTAGTTCGTTGGTACTAACTTGAGTATTTGAATTTCATTTTTTTCCTAGTTAAGATCGTATAGAAGATGGCATGTTATTAATCATTTGCCCATCACATCCTTAAACACTATTAATGTAAAAATAATATCTGTAAATCATTATTTTGATTTAATTATTATTATTTAATTATCTATGTATATATATATATATATATATATATATAATTATCTGTAAATCAAACTGCTCTGTAATGTTTTTCTTCTTTTTATGAAATAATTTATTTATAGATGACAGCTCTTTCCACTAACTTACTGCCTTATTTTATCTTAAAACAGAGAATTTGTCAATGGCAGACCCCTGCGAGTGGTTCTTAACGGAATAGAATGCATGAATGACGACCCTTCCCAAGTGGTCGTGTTATATGCCAAAGTCAAATTAGACGATGGGACAGACAGGTAAAAGCATATGAAATTGCAGTGAATACATTTACATTATAAAAACTTTTGTTCGCCTTAATTGCTTTTGATTGTGAGTAAAAATCGTTGTACTTAACATAAATGCTGTTTTGTGATTTTCCGGGGGTGACTCAAGATTTCTTTGGAAACATTAGTTCAGGAAACACAGCAGGGGAATTATAACCCTCAGGTTTGACTACTTTGCTGTAGCAGCTTATTCTTCTTCAAGCAATATTTGACAGTCAAAGAACTAAAAAGTTTCCTTGCTATTCTTTTTTTTCTTTCAATAATAAAATCGAAATGTTCAAAAGTTTGAGAATTTCTGCAGACGTGTTGACGTTGATACTAGTTCAATCAGAGCAGATAATCAAGTTTCAAACGCATATGATTTTAATGTTAAGTCCGTTGATTTGACAAAATGAAATGGTTTAGAGAAACAAGTTTACATCGCCAACACCAAATTTGTTACAACATTCTCATCGCAGCCATACTTGTAAATATTATTATTACAAATTACTATACAATTTCAATTGTATTGTAATTCGTCTTTTTATCTATTTGTTCGTTAGGTTGCAAAGATTAGCAGACTTTATTGTGGATCGTTTCTCATCAGCTGGGTTAATGCGAAAAGAGTACGATAAAGTCAAACTTCATGCGACGGTCATCAACACTAATTTCATTTCTGCTGAGAAGGAGACGAATGATATCAAAACTGATGGTTCTCAGAGCAAAACTAGAAGAAAGGTTCAATTTTTCGATGCAAGAAAACTTTTTCAGGTTGGAAATTAACATCTTGTTGCCGACTTTGTCAATGGCTTATTCCAGTAGACGTTTATATTTGGGATGCATAAGTTTACTTAATTATAGCCATGCTCAATCTCTCAGCCTTGAAAAGCCAGGCCTTTTCCGATGGATGTTTATTGGGAGGTTTTTTAATTTTGCATGTGAGGTTAACTCTTGATTCACGAAGCACCGAGAGTTGGAATGTAAGTTAAGTGAGTAGTTAAATTTACCTATGATTCGTAAGCCCAGCTAACTCTCAAAGCAACGTGCAGTTAAGATTTTCTTCCGTTACTGTCGATGTCAGGTTAGGTTACGTCTTGGAATTTGTGCGTTTTCATCCGGCGTAAAATGTGCAGGAATCAGGGCGATTTTTCACTTTTGCTTCACTGCGTTCGACGTTTTCTTATTCGTTCTCAAGTTACCTCATCTTTCTCATACATCTCATCGCTGGAAAACGGACCAGAGAAGTTACAAATGAAACCGTTACGCACGTTGTGCCATTCTTATCTCAATATATTTTCGCTTGTTGCCGTTCTCAATGCTACTTTTCAACAGTAATAGGGGTAGGATGGAGGTAATTATTCAGGAAAAACAGGGTTTAAAACGGTACGACATCAAGCCTGTGTTACCTCCACTTAAACACATTTCACTATTAAGTTTTATAGCTGATGTTTTCATTAGACATGAAATTAGTAATGTATCTTGTTACAACCCTGACGCAATGTTAACCCGACGCCTCACTAAGATCAACACGTTACGTATGCTTCGCTAAGTACGCCGCAAGCGCATTGATATCCTATCCTATCAAGCCAGGCAAAGAAAATCAATCCAATCTGCTTATGTTACACTTTATCCTAATTTCCAGATGACAAATTAGGCGCCTTTTCGAGGTGCATACTTCCTTAACAGTGTCACATCGGTTAACCAGCAATATATGCTTACTTAACATATCGAGTTCCTGGATTATGTAAAACCCAGATAAAGTGTAAGCCTCTGAAAGTTACGCTTTATTTATAATAATCATTTTTCTTTTATTAAAGAACAATTCAAATGAATCAATTAAATTAAAAGGAATCAAATTCAAACGAATCTAGGAACATTTTGCTTTGCACTGGCCACCTTTTTTGACCGTCACAGATTGTCAACTTGATATTTCTAAAAGTGACATGATAACATTTATAAATTTTGATAATGCATTATTCTTTATAAAACCGTCTCACTTCATTTGATAGGCATTTTGAAATTCACATTCGAATTGTCCCCTATCGAAATGTCGCGGATTTATGGAAGTTTATGATGACGTCATGTTTTCGTGCTTCTTCACCGCAAAGTCTCAGAGGTTGAGCAGTCATGCAGATTGTCTAAGCTGCTACTTGCATGTATTGCAAATGACGTAAAGACATCACAAGGCCTCAAAAAGGAGTATTTCGATAATAATTTACTGACTAAATTACTCAAACGTGTTCCTTCCCTTGTCAGAGCCTTTAGTCTTAAAGGTTCGCTTGGAACCCGTGGGACTGCTGCCCTCCCCTAACAAGTATCATAGGCTAGTTATTATTCGTGCAGTCCATATCTTATGCAATACTTAAAAAGGCAAATAGTCAGAAATGTATTTATATGAAATGTTTTTTATGGACGCGGGCAAATAGTTTAAATGAGGCATTCTAATGATATGCAAGAAATAGTGGTTTTCTGCAAAAACATTTCCCAGTGATTTTGAATGTTGATTCGTTTCACTACCACGATGTTATGAATTTGTTATGTTCCAGTTACTGTCTTCAAATCAAGGCAATCTTTCAAAAACTGTTGATTAAAAGAACTTCAAAATTGGTTTGCCAACGGTCAATGAATAGACCGTACAAGTTCAATATACGACCCATGCTCCTATAAAATAAATTGTCTCTTCGTCAAGTTGATGAAGCTTGGGCGGCTAATGTGACTTATTGCAGGAAGATAGAATACAGACTTTTACTGGTAAAAATCACAAGCCTGCTCAGCCATGAATTTCTGTCCTCTGCTCATCTTTACAAGCAGGTTTTCAATTTGGTTATCCGATCGTTTCTGGCGAGTGTAGTTAATTCCCGTTGGCCACAGCCTTCACCAGAAGGTGAGTGACCATACTCGCATAGAGTTACGAGCCCATTGTCGGGAAAACTCGAATATTTTAGGCTGGTCTAAAGGTGATTGTCAAGCTGCGCAAAAAACATACAAATCACAGGTTCCCAATTCCGTTTAGTTTTTTCGCCTTATAATCCATTATAATTTCCTCATTATTTTCTTTTTCAGATTTGCGACAACTTCAACTTTGGCATGGTCGATGTCACGTCCCTTCATTTGTCAAAACGAGGACAGTATGGACCTGATGGGTTTTACCACTCTGAAGCACAAATTGAGATATAAAACTTTTAACTGGAATTGATATAAAGTATGTACAGAGTCGTCCTTGGTGCAGTTGGAAGCTTGAAGTATGCGAATTAGAACGAATTGGCCACCAAAACTCCACTTTGTTGTTGCTTTATCGTTCTGTGATGATATGTGGCTGCTATTGTAAGGCTAGACTGTAGAGCTTTAATTTGCAAAATAGGTGCAAAAATTGCTTTAAATACTTAACTGGCATCGCCATATCGATCTCGCAATTTCATCACTTTGTTGAGCACACCCTAGTGGCCAGTTGTGCCATTAATTACTTGTTTTTGTACAAATGTTTAAGTACTTTAATTGAAATATATTAATGATGACAGAGGCATCAAATGTGGCATGAAAAGGCTGCAATTAAGGGAAAAGCTGCTTGTTTACATGATCCAAAACGAACAATTTACTAAATACGTTATCATCAGTTATATGAATACTTTCGGGAAGGAACCCTTTGGCGGGAGCTTTCGTGTTTACGCATTTGTGTCCAAATTTCGCGAAAGTTTATGCCGCGAAGTTTCCCATTTTCCGATTAATAAAAACCAAAATACTTTTCAGTCAAACTTGTAACTTCAAGTTTGCAAAGGAATACATTTACCCAGTAGCTACCAAAATTGCAAGAAGTATCCTAACCGAAGCGAAATTGTTTACCTAACGGGGGATCGGCTATTTCAGGGGGCATCAAACGAATTTTCTGTAATTTGCTAATCCGTTTAGAGAAGATTGGAGCGATTTCCATTTACCCTTCATTGCAAGTCGGTCCTACAGATATGCAAAACAATTATAATCTTAAAAAGTTTCCCATACAAGTCTATTTGCTCTACTTCTACCAGCTGTACGTGAACAGAGGAGCTGAATATGGGTTAGCTACTCTTTCAAATGTCAAATGTCCTCAGAACGTCGTCAGTTGGATCAAGGCAAGGTTAAGCAATGCTGTGGAAGAGGATTTCCACCTGACAGAACATTGCAGAAATACACTACTAGTGATTTATAAGAGATTCCATTGTACAACATCGACCTATTCCTCTGCATAGTTTCGTATTAATGCATAAAGTGATAAATATTTTATGTCAGTTCTTTTCAGAACAGTTAAAACAGCCAGTTTAATTACTACCATTCATTGTTTTGCCGATACACAGATTAGTCTATGCAAGAAGATCGTCATCGTTTTTTCTGATATCCTTTGTCTGCGTGAAGAAAAGGTTTGAAGGATCTGAAAGATTAAAGGGGAAGATCTGAACTAAAAGATTACCCTTCCTTGAACAAGAATAAGGGGCTGTAACTATGTTTTTAGCAACTTTTAGCGACTTCTCCCACACTGGCGGCTGACGCTGCCACTGTATAGCATGACAAACCGACGATCAAGCACACTTCCTGGCTAGAACACTTGAATATCAGATTTGTAGGCCCACTATTAAAAAAGGCGTACCTGTCCACCCTTTTTAAAGTTGATGCTTTCTGTCTGCAAATTTTTCCACGACGTTTTCCTCAATTTTCAAATATTACAGCCTGCTTTATTTGGGATCCGAAGTGACGAGACTAGACTGAAATAAATTCACGCATTGCATCATGTCTCAAATTTAAGCCCTGGTAAAACGACTGAACATTTCACTAAACATTTCACTCAACTTTTGTTCAATGAATGTTTATTAGAAGGTTTAGACTTTCTGACACCGTACTTAGAGCTGTTTATTCCTGTTTGATGTTTTGATGAGAGTCATTTTGCAACCAACTAAACATTTCTTGTGCTGGTGCTTGCTCAGTAGCTGTGGAAATCAGAACGTTTCAGTCTTTGTATGTTTCAAAATCTCTAGAAACGTCTTTGTGAGACATCCACGTCAGCCATGGAGACATGCAAAACAAACAGTGATGAAATTCTTCGCCTGGTTTCCCTGCACCCTCGGAGTGTCCTACATACTTTTTTTTATAAGACTGTTCTTAATTAATTTTTTCGAAAATCTGAGGCTGGATTCTTCTTAATTTTTTCTTAAATTGATAGGGTGTAAGCAGTGCGATTACTAGGTTTTTTTGTTTTAGGGAGGTGTTCAGGCCTCATTTGCCAGCAGACTGAGTGAGACAACCTTCATTTGCCGACAAGTTTGAATATTCACTGAAAAAGGACCCACACATAGCTAAACACCCTCATTTTTGAGATTAGAACGTTGTTTCAAAGTAGCTCAGCCTCAGCTTGTCCTTAATTTGTTTTTAACTTTTGACCAATTTTGAGGCTCGTGTTCTTATAAAAATCGCTCTTATAGATAAAGAGTATAGATCCAGTGAAGTTTAGTGAAAAATTTAGTCACGTTTTGCCACACTCGCTAAACACAAGCAGGGTTGCTAGGTAGTATGGGTACAAAGTAGCCAAACCGTTTATGCAAGTAGGCAAAATCACGTCAAAATAGGCCAAATTTACCCATAACACAATGACGTCATAATGAGCAGGCGCAGAAAAAAACAAGCTTAGTTTGCAGAATATCCGTTGCCCTTTCCATCAGCAGACTCTGTAAGCCAAACATATTGCACTTCCTAAGACTTCTTTTACTTCCTTGCACTGTAATATCTACCTTGGTCGGTATAGATTAGAAACTCGAGAAAAATAAAGCATTATTCACTATTTATTGAAACTTCTTACAATTGTGTGGATCAATCTCTGTGATTATGCGTGTTATTGATTGCTGAAAAATTGCCAATTCTATGGGTTTGAAAAAAGCAAACATTTTGAGTAAACTAAAGCTTCTAGTCAAGCACTCTTCAGAGTATAAAACGTTAGAACATACATAGGTCGATTTTGTACCACCAAAAGATTGTTTGCAAATTCTATTTAACTAAATTATTCATGGGCACCGACACAGGTTGAAAAAGGGGAGGAGGGGGAGCTAAGGGAAACTTTAACAGCCATGACAGAAGATTTTGAAAAAAATCTATTGTTTTGGAGGAGAGTGGGGGCATGGCCACTCGGCCCCCCATTCGTCGGAAGCCCAGTTATCAAAGGAAATACTCGAAAAGTAAATCAATCAAATGTTGAAAAAATAAGCAAAAGCAATGACTTCACGTCGTTACATGAGAAATTCAGAGACTGATCCATTTGGATTGAATCAATCTGACCCATTTGGATTAAATCAATGCCACCTCAAGTGTCTGTCTGGTTCATGGACATATGATGCATGATTAACCATTTTATGATTTTATGGGGTTTAATCTCTTTTTCGAACATTCTCTTAGAAGGCCAAAAAATAGCCCAAATGAGGCAGGAGGCCAAAGGTAAAATTTCGTAGCCAAACATTCTTAACAAAGGCCAGATTTCTCAAATTTGGCCTCCCAGTGGGCCAGTTGGCAACCCTGAACACAAGTTGAATGGCAAGTCGTTTTGCCTGCAGCGATTTGAAGTAAAATGTTGAATTGAATTGAATTGAATTGAAGTAGCAGTAATCTCTCGTGCCCATTTCTCCTAGTTGCGTGTAAGCGCATTTCAAAAAGTGTGTGCTCTCTTCGACCTTTCGGACACCTTGTGGAGGACGCGATAGTTTTGAAGGGTTGCTTCGTTGTTAGTGTATTGCCTCAAAGCAGCCAGTTGTTTAAACACGGTTTCAAGATGTCTTCGAGCAAGGGAAAGGAAAAGCTAGGTTTTTGTGGCCGATTAGAGAGGCAATGTCGCAGTTTTGCTAACTTTGCGTACAATAAGCAAACCAAGGAGGTTATGGGAAGGAGTGGCAAAAGCTGGGGTTAGTGAGAGGCCGCCATAAAGTTATTGAATTCTTTGTAATGCCGTGTTTTTGTAAATTTAGTGTTCTTTAAAATGTTCTGGCCTTGATTATTTTTCTTATCCATCTTTTAGCAAAGATTGGTTTGTTCTACTTCGCCTACTACGGCTTTCTAGCGGCTTTCTTCTCGGCCTGCCTTGCAGTGTTTCTCTCGACACTAAACGAACCCGGCAAAGGTGGCCCGAAAACAACACAGTTTTTAAGAGACGATTCAGCTCCAGGTAACTGTCCTTTACATTTTATGTTACAGTTGACGCAGACATGATCTTTAAAAGTTGGGAATATACCAGTCATTTTGCCATAATTCAATCAAACCTCGAGCGTCGTACACCATCTGCCCATAAACATTTTTGTTGAACGACTGCTGCATCAGGGCATTGTTTTACCGCAAGCAGAAACCACCTCCCCATTTAAATGTCGTGTCTTGGTATATTTTCTGTTCGTGACTATGTTACTTCATTTCTAAAGTTATGCTGCAATTGGAAAACAACTTTTATGTTGAAAAGTAAGAGAATAAACTAGATTCAAATACTCACTACTTTAGGCCTACCGACAAATAGTACCAGAAACGAAAAAAGGATAAACTACCTCAAAAATAAAAACAAATAGAAACGCCCTACTATTTTAGGCATCAGAACGTTTATTGTTGAAAAATATATGTACTTTTTATTGAGTTGGACTCTTCTAACGTTAGTACACTTCACCATCGACAGAATAATTTGCAAGAATATATATATATATAGTTATTTAGCCAACATTAATCTTTTAATAGAACATTGTCGAACGTTTATGATATTTCTTTATCAGTATTCTGATTATTGAATGATGAATGTTGAAATTTGATATATATGAACAGTACGGTTTCTGTGGTGACCCTCAAGATATGAAGTTCTTGCTTGGCAACCTACTTGATCTTTGAATTGACATGTGATAAACAGTTTGGTTTACAGAGAAGCAAAATATGTCCCTGATGCAGTCAGGTTGTTTGATGCAGTTCATCAAGTATGAATAGAAAGTATGTTGATGAAAATCAACAGTCTTTGTTTAGAGGGGAGCTATTAGTGGCTTTTCTCAGCTTTCCAAAATGATACAGATAGCTTATCTTAACTTCACAAGAGGAAGCTATTTCTACTCCCTTGTCTAAAATCCCATGGCCAGGCCTGTACCAGCAATTTGTCAAATTATGTTTGCCATTTTGTTAGTGTGTTATAACCTATGGTGTCTAATTCATCCATATTCCTTTTGTATTAATTGTTAAATTTTACTTTATCCTTTAGGGTTAAACACAGTGCCATCAATCAATTTCTTAGAAGGATACAAAACTAAACACAGGACCCGTAATACCAATGCAATCAGGGATTACTTGGAAGGTAGGTGGTGGTTTGTTCATTGAGCTACAGGGATAAATTATAGCTTTTTGCAAATCAGAGAATGAATGCAACAGAACAATATAAAGTGGTTTCATGTTCCACTCATTAGTGTCATAAATTTGTCTTTTCTGTTGTTTTTCATGTCCCCATTTACTTTTTCCAAATATTTTTTATACTTAAGTTCATTCTAAAAAGCTTGCTCACTCATCTACTTTTTAAAACACTGTAAACTGATACAAAATTGTCCCACCTAGCACCTGATCTGGCCTCACCCCTAGCATTGAGGTAAAATGTTGTGTCTTTGTTAAGACTATTGAAAAAAATCAGCACCCGGAACAACCATTTTTTTATCTGCAGAAGACTGCTTATTGTTATGTGGGGTAACTGTTGGGCGAACAAACTTTTACTTGAAATGTCCACCCCTGTAGCCAGAGTTTGTTTGGGAGACCACTGGCTATATGCAGGAGACCTATAAAAGAGCTGCTGGTCTCCAACCTGGGGGACAACTTTTGACCAGAGATGTCCACCCCTGGATGTCCTTTTTCCCAGAGATGTCCTTACATCTTATCAATTAAACAACCTCATTGACAGAACAAAACATAATTTAAATTGCACAATTGAAATGAAACAGGATATCAGAGACTCAGTCAATGCAATTTTAATTTGGTCTGCATTGTTTATCCTCAAATGTCAATATGAAATTAGTTGGTATAAAAATGTCTATCCAAAGGCTATCAGGAAAAAATCTTAATGTGTTCCATTATGGATTGCATGCCTTTGCATGCATTAACTTTTCAAGGCGTGCAATTATCAGCATGCCAACAAATCTTATGTTACCAGGACTGGACATGTAAGTGTGTTAACAGTGTTTTTGAAAAATCCATATTGGAACACATTTTCAAAAAGTTTCCTCTTTTGGAAGTGTTGATAATTGCTGTATGTTGTGCACATATATTTTCTAAATTTACCTTATAGGTTTTGCAAAGGCTGATGTTAATGGCGGAAACTGCAGCGACCCAAGCTCTAAATCCCCTTGCAAATTTGACATCAACCAGCTTGGAAATTGCTCGACTGGTTCTTATGGCTATGATGGCAATTACCCATGTGTCTTCATGAAGATAAACAAGGTGTGCATGCAACCATACAATCCTTCTAACAGCAGTTGGTTTCTTGATGGTTATTGACCAGTTTTAACATAATATTTTGCCAAATGTTGTTTTTTCTCTTTATTCAAACTAGAGGAATTTGACATCAGGATCATTGCCCTTCATTTCTTGAAACCAAAGTATAATACCTGGTTGTTATCAGTGATAATCAATGATGTTCTTTTAAACTTTTCAGTGCATAATATTTTCTTTGCTTAAAGAAATAGACCCGTGAACACGTTTCTCCCCAGATTAGCAAGATGTCTATAATACATTTAAGTGTTAATTAAAAACCTCTGCAGAAGTGTGCAAAGTTTGATTTTCATTGTTTTGAATGGTCTAAAAAACTACAATGTTTCCACATAAATATATATATATATATATAACTGAAATAATCAAAATGCCAAAGTAGTTTTAAAATTTGAAAAATGATTTTACTGTGCTTCAAATGGCTACTCAATATAAAACCTAAGGATTATTTTAAATGCCTAAAGCATAAGTATTTGTTTGCTTTGTTAGGTTTATGGCTGGAAACCATCAGGCAATATCAAATTAAGTTGTGACTCGGTATGTATGGTGAAATTATTTTTTTTTACTTGTATAAGATGCATGTATGGATGCCTGTCATATGTTTTCAGTTTCATTATTTTATGATTTATGTATACAGGTCTGGCCATAAGACTTTAAGCAGGGGAGCGGTAGACAGCTCTCCTAGTAATTTTCAGGTGAGCTATTTCTAGACACATAAGAATATAAACAAAGGAAAAATTGATTTCAAGGAGAGCAATTTTCTTTTAAGAGCAATCTAGGAAAGCAATCTGTAGCTCTCCTCCAGCATTTGAGGAGAGCCTGGAGAGGAGCAAGAGCTATGGCTCGCCTTAAATGGCCTGGCCTGTATATATATATATATATATAATGTTAAAGTATGTCAATTTCTTTTATAGAAGGAATGAATAACAAAGTTATTTTGAAATAAAGTTTTTTGTACCTCAAAATGTTTAGATGACTGCTACCTTCTGATATTTCATGGTTTCCTAATCCTGGTGTTTTTTCTCTTTTTAATTAAAGGGTGCAAAAGTTTTACCAACAACAGGATACCTTGCCAAGGCATTTCCATTTGAAGGGCAAAAAGATTATCAAACTCCAGCAGTTGCAATTCAACTGGACTTGAGCAGTGGTAATAAACTGACTGTCAAGTGTGAAATTCGTGGAGAGGGATTCAAAACTTCTGATGTTTATATTGCCCACAGAGCATTTGGCAAAATTGAATTTGCTATTGTACCTTGATTTTGAGGGAACAGTTAGTGACACATTTTAGCTATCTTTAGGTGTGGCTAGTTTGCTATAACTAATTTCACTGCAACTGCCACGCCATGGTTGAGAATGGTTTTGATCTGATATTAAGAAATTTTGTTTATATTTGATTTGCAACAAGCAGTTGTAATACAGTTTCAGTGATGCATTAGGACAGAGAGATTGATAGTCACTCTTGTTGTAACTGTTGTTGACAAGATTTCTATGATACATCAATTTTTGTTAATATGTTCAAGTACTATCTAGCATCAACAGTGTTTTTCTTATCACTACAGTGTTGTTTTATCATTTTTTCAAAGATTGGTGTGAAATGTTTCTTTGTATTTTAGCATGCTCTTGCTTTTTCAAACATACTTTTAGTCGTTTTACTGCATACTACTGCATGTTTTTGTCACATACAATTTCTTATAATGCAGATTTTGTCAATCGATTTCCTGCCCTTAGAATATCTTTTTCTCAAAGACTTCGTAAGATGTAATTTCAAGAAAGTTTCATCATCGGTTGAAAGTGCTTGGCCAGTTGTTTGATTGGCATTTTCTTTTCTATTACTAAGCAGGGGGAGGGTGTCAAAGGGAATTTCTAGACCACCCAATCAGAAGGTGGGAAGCTCTGTTAATCCTGTCATTTCCAGCTAGTACTAGGAACAAACTTTTTAGAGGAATACTTTAATTACTTTAGAGAATTGCTGAGCCTTGGTATTCTTAAAAAAAAATTTTATTTTGTCACAATTACCAAAACCTGCAAGTTTGGTGAGTGTCTAGACAAATAAAAATAAAGAAGCAAACTTGCAAAACAAAATTTGGATGAGTGCACCTTTATATGTAACTCTTGTTTCTCTTGTTTGCTAAACAAGCATCAACAAAAATTAAACTGTTAATGAAATCCTAGCCGGGCTCTTATTATTAGCTGATTCTTAAGTTTCACAAATTTTAAAATCATTACAAAATCTTATAGAAATTGTGTATATCCGCAGGCAATAATATGGCCCCGTGGGCTCTTTTCCCAGCAAAAGAATCAATGATGGCACCAAGGTTTAGCTTTTTTGCATCGTCTCTCAGCCAGTCTTAGTCCATATGTAAGTGAATCGGCCAGTCTGCCACGCGCATGATACGACACCTAAACTTCTTTGGCAACTTCAACGCGAAAACAGAAATTTATCTAACAACAACGATGTTTAATATCTTTGCAGAGCTATGAAGTTATTCAGTTGTAGATTAATCGATATTTCAACTCAGTAACAAGTTTGAAAGGTTGAATCGAATAATTACCAAACAGTATTTAAAAGTCAAGGAAAAACATTTGACACTTTGTTCTAATTTCATTTTAAATGCAGAAGATAATTACATCTGAGGTCCCCTATAATTAAATGAACCTGCGATTCGGCTGATAAAGAATGAACTCGGAGATATCTTTTGTTATTTTTTTAAAACTCAAAACATATGTTGAGCAATGGTTTATTGAAGCTCCTGTTGGGAATTTCATGCCCAAACATTTCGTAGCCTGTGCGCTGACTCTAAATATCTTACCAATCACCATAAGATCCTTGGAGTCTGAATTTAACTCAAACATTTCATGTTATCAATGTTATCAACTAATCTCCACTCTAAAGATGCGAAACAACTAAGATGCACAACAGCCAAAACAACTCAGTATAGTTAATTCTGTCATAATCCCCTTGGTGTATAATCTAATATTTCCCTGACTATTACTTCACGTTTTGGCAACATCAGTAGTAGCCGTTTGAGGAAAAAATTAACAAGAACAATAATAACTTGCTTGTAAATTGGTCGCTAGCCATATGCAGCCTCACAGCTTTCCACCACAGCTCCATTATCAAGTACTGGGTGGTGAAGCCTTCACCATAATGGATGTAGTTTGCTCAACTGATCATCGTGACCTGATTCGGGTGTTCCATCAACTATGAATGCATAGTATCATTTCATTCATGACACAACTGCGATCTCATTCTGCACAACTACGATCATTTCGTTCTAGGATGAAGCAGAAAGGTGATGAGCTTTTCACATTTTTGTTGTGATATTTAAGTCCTCTTCACATGCCCTCGTGGAAATGGATCGTTGTGAGGTAAGACCTCCACGGCCCTAAAGATTTCCAATTTGAATATTACAAGATGAAAACAGCAGTACATCTTGCGAGAATCTTCTTACATTTTCTACCATGCATGGATTCCCCTGATATGATGTCAAAACCAAACAACCTGGCTTGCTTGTTGTGTAAGCATAAGCGTACGGCGGAATTTTTACAGGGGGGGCGGTAGGATTTTTGCCCGAGTACAGAGGCATACATATATTTATGAGCCTGTTGGTGATAAGGAGCTTGACATGAAAAATATTTACATTACGAGTTCTTTTTCACCGAAATATCTAAAGTAAAAACAGTTAGTTGAGCAAACCAATCCGAGACATGTTTGGTGGACATGCTATCCTTATCGATTCTTTTATAATGTCTACTGTTTGATGTAATTTTCTCATAGATAAGGGCAGCAATGTATAATATTTTCCAATATTTTATGTAATATCACTTAAAATACTACTATTAACTCTTGAATTCGACTACAGTAAAAAAAGGTGAGTCCCGACCCTTTCTATGTCCAAATGTATCAATCATCGCATTCATGTCACTTTTCAAAACTTCGTTTGAAAATTTCCTCTCGATGCTAAGTAGTGCCAATATGAATCTCTCAGCAGTTCTTGGTCCATGGTTGATCTGAGATATGTTTTCAGCCGTCGAAGGCCACTCTGCTGAGCAAGATGTTGTCATCTTTCAGCTGAGCAAGATGTTGCTGGAATCGTTGCTGGCAATGATGTTGTTTCATACAGGAATGGCAGTACTTGATTGCTGCATTTTCACCATACGATTCAGAAGCGCTTTGCTTCTTGTAATTTTCAAAAACCATCTTGTCATTTTTTAAGGCACTTTTGGTCGATTTGATAATGCAACGATATTGACTCGTAGCTTTCAGTCTTTGGGTTATTTGAAGTCATTTCTGCCCGACTATTTGCGGATAATTTTTGAAAATTTGCCCGACTGACATGGTTTTTCGAAAACTGACATTTTTCCTCCGCAGAGGATAAGCAGGAACTTCTCTTGATTTAACCCCCATTTTACCCCCAAAACAGCGGCAGATCCCCGTTTACCATCACAATTCAGTATCACCAGTTGATAAAGAATTCGAAAATGGTAATCAAAATTTCCCCGCCCCAAAGTGGTACTTCCCGCCATTTCCGTTAGGGTTGCACTCACTGATCGCACTGTACACAATGCAACTCAATGAGCAAATTCTCAAAGTCAAAGGGCAAAACATTGATGATAAATTTTGTGTCGATAGGGAAGCATCAAACAGTAAGTAGTCTATTTGCCACTATTGTTTCTTTGTATCATTACAAAACCTACAGTAGCACGATAAAATGGCTTCTCGTTATCTATTGCGTCGTGTTAAAACCGATCTTTTGATGAACTTGGTACGTGCTAATATATAACCCTAGGATTGGACCGTGGTGTGGCCGTGCCCAATATAACCTCAGATTGAACCCCGGCCCCAACATCACTTAGCCTTTGCACAGGGTCATGGCATTCTCATTTATAACACTTTCTTATTTCCTTTCCTGATCAAAGTTCACCTAAGGGCTTACTGGATATTCAATACCTGTCAATAATTTCTTTGGTGAAGCTAGTTTCAATTCGATGCATTACATCAAAACTTAACATGTACACCTTTTTATGGCTGCAGTTGGAAGTTTATAGTTCTGACTCACCAAAGAACAATCTTAATGTAGTGTTATGTCTGTACAGTCATCATCATAATCACCATTATCATGAAATAAACATTTAACAATCCTTTTGGATCGATACCAATGTCTGCAATGTCAGCTACAACATCAAAATTTACTGAGGTTATTTCGACTTTTACTATAAAAAGAATTCAAATTTATCTGTGTCACAAATTGTCTGGCAGGCTGGAATGATTGAACAAAAAATGAAAACCTTATTAGGGAAAATTGATCACTCATAAAATAATTTTAGAAGAGCTCTATTGTTTTGCAATAAAGTGGTGGAGGGGGGGGGCTTGTAGAAAATGGGGGAGAAATGTATTTAATAGTCATTGGAAATGTCATTTTGTGAGCAGGGCTAAGGGCAGATCCTCTAGGAACACCTGAGAGCACATTACAAGGATATGATTTTTCTCTATCTATTATATCTCTTTAGGTCTTATAGAAAACTTTAAATCCACAGGATAATTTCTCCCCAAATACCATAACTACAAAGTTTTAGCAATAATTTACTGCAAGAAGCCTTAGAAGGTCAAATAATATAATGTTCATCTTTCTTCTGGAATTGACAGATTCTTGACAACTTTTTACAAACATCAACATATGGGAGGTACACTAATATTTTTCTTATGGAATCCATGTCGCTTGTCTGCTTTTATTTGGAAGGTTTCTAAATGGAGTTGGGATATTAAACAAAACAATATAGAAATGCTTTGTTTTTTAATTATTTTCCTTTTAACATTTGTTGGAATAAGAAATTTTGACTATACTGATGCGAAAAAGGTGTCTGGGGTTTGCCAAAGGTGGACAAAGGCAATACATCTAGGATATGACAGATTACAACAGAAGTTTAACCAATACCCAGGGCCGTAGAGAGGGGCAGAGGGGCAAATTGCATCAGGGCCCTGAGATCCTAAGGACCTCATAAAGTAATGAATAAAGTAATCAAACGTAACATGAATATACCCAAAAATGGTAAAAAGTTTTAAGCAAATACAATAACATGACTGCAAGAAATATCCTGAATAGATTTCCAGCTAATTGAAAGGGCATGGTTCCAAAAAATTTCTGCTTGCTTCACTCACAGGGGCTTCCTTTTGTACTGCTGCCTCCAAAACTTCTTAGCAGCCCTACCAACACCTGTCATAAAATATTTAGTGGATTGGGTTGCTTTTGCTTTGATAGAAACCTGGCTTTAAATAGCCCCAAGAAGTATTTAATAATATTAAGATTTGTGGAGCTGGAAATTTTCCTTAGAATAAGCTCTGATTATTTCTTGTTTAGTTGTGTTTTCTCAGTTTTGCATTCCTCATATCAAGTGTGTGGCCTATGTGCAAGGGCAGCTTTTCTATGGTTTTCACTTTAACGAAGCTTAGAGAATGAAGTATGCATCTCATAAGGTAACTGGGTGTAGGATGGTACAACTGCATGTGACCATAGGATGATACTTGCAATGAGAAATTGATAAAACTAATTATTTTCTCTTGTCTAATTGCTAATAATCTTCCAATGTAAAATAAATTTATGTCAGCTAAAGTTTTGTTTTGGAATCAAAATTGAAAAGTTAGGAACAAAGAGAATTCATGATACTTTGGAGAAAAAAGTTGTGTCCTTTTCAGAAATATGTTAAATTTCCCACATTTTAAAAATTTTGGAAAAACTAAAAGCAAATTTGCTACAACACAAAGGAACATCCCCTTTTAACTGACTTCTTTCTTTTTACACAGACAAAATCTCAAACCTGTCACCAATTATTTATCTGGTGATTCTCTTGTCACACCACACCCCTATTATTTTTACCCTAAATTATCATTACCTTAATATTTTTTTCTTTAAAAAGTTTAGCACCTTTTGTGAATGCATACTAGTCATTTCCTTTGATGACCAACCCTAATTTTGATATGCAAGCGTATGTAGCTAATTTTGTACCTCTCTTTCTTATCAACTTTTTGTAATTGAATTGAATGTTATTTAGTTGGTCATCCCAGTGCTTTTCATACAAAAATCTGCAAGAAGGGCCTATTTTTGTTTTTATGTATCAGAGAACTGGTTGGTGGTCACAAATTTCCCAGAACATTTTAGCATGTTGCTATAATTCTTGAGTATGATCCACTGATTTCCAAAGCTCATTAACATTTCAAGTCTCTTAATAGCCTCTGACCAAATGCACTTTTGTGACAGCCAAAGGCAATTTTGGCTAAGATATTTAATTTGCTAGGATCCAGTTTAAATACCCTTAAATTAGGTGAAAACAGTACTTTTATATGGTATCTTTATATGATATGTGTATATGATACCATGAAATAATGGTGTCTAATAGTACAAAGATAAAGTTGTTGTTGCAATATTTCTATTTAATTTCAATTAAATCAATTCAATTAAAAGAAATATTTATCAAGTTCTGCAAAACGTTTATTTCTTTAATAGCCAAAGTCGCTTGCAATAGTCCTTCTGCTAACAAGTTGATTATTTTTCAGGACTTACATAAAAGTTGAGACGATTTTGCAAATCAACGACTGTCAGAAATGAATTTTTATAGACTGAGAACCTCTTCATTAACCTGCTTGCGTCACAACCTACGATTTGGGAACTTTAGAAACTACTCTAAAGCAAATTATACAGCTACATCAAAATTTTCGCAAAGTAAGGTTGGCGACTTCACACAGGACAGTCCTCATCACGAGAATGCATTTTTATCAGACCAGTTTCTTATACGGAATATGCAACGTATAATGCCGACTGAGATTTTCACTGCAATAAAAAGTGATTTGGTTAGGTTTGGTAATCGTGTAAGCTCAGACATATGGAAGTTGGGACAAGAGTGTGCTGTAAATGAGCCATATTTACATAAAACATCGGCATGGGGAAAGAAGGTTGACGAAATTGTTACCTGTAATGCATGGAAACAGCAAAAACGAATTTCAGCCGAAGAAGGGCTAGTGGCTATTGCTTATGAGAGAGAGTTCCTTGAATTTAGCCGGCTTTATCAGGTGATAAAATTGTTTATGTACTCGCCATCTTCTGGGTTGTATTCATGCCCCCTTGCAATGACAGATGGAGCGGCGAAGACTTTTGAAGCGAATGATTTACTGCCGTCATATCAGAATGTGTTCTCTCACTTGACTACCAGGGACCCTGAAAAATTTTGGACTTCAGGGCAATGGATGACAGAAAAACGCGGTGGATCTGACGTTGCTAAAGGGACTGAGACCATAGCTATTCCAGTCTCTGGAGACAAGAATTTGTATAGTTTATATGGTTACAAGTGGTTTTCGTCGGCAACAGATTCAGATATTGCCTTAACGTTGGGGCGTGTTGCTGACAGTAAGGGAAGCGTAGTACCAGGCACAGATGGCATCACGATGTTCCTGATAAAAACGAGAAATGACGACGGGAAGCTAAATGGTATTGAGGTAATGAAGCTTAAGAATAAACTTGGAACAAGGCAACTTCCCACAGGTGAGTTGCTTATAGATGGGGCGTTAGCTGAGAAAATTTCAGACCCAGGTCGTGGCATTTCTTGCATCTCTAGTATGCTGAAAATTACCAGGCTGCATAATGTAATATCGAGCGTTGCGGGGCCGAGAAAACTGATAAATCTTGCTCGCGATTATGCTCGAAGACGTGAAGCCTTTGGACAGGTCATAGCTAACCATCCTTTGCATTTGAAGACATTGGCGAAAATGGAGGCAGAGACACGTGGCTGTACTGCTCTTATGCTAGATCTTGCACTTAAGCTAGGTCTTGAGGACTGTAGGTCTATTCCAGATGAAGATGCACTTTTACTACGTTTGATGATGCCTGTCGCAAAAATGTACACCGCCAAACGATCTGTCGAATTGGTTTCAGAGGGTCTTGAGTGTTTTGGTGGACAAGGGTACATCGAGGATACAGGTCTTCCGGGGTTTTTGAGAGATGCACAAGTTCTCCCTATATGGGAAGGTACTTCGTCTGTGATGTCTCTAGACGTTCTAAGGGCCATTCATAAAACAAATGGTGAGGCGCTGGTTGCCTTGCAAAGCTATGTGTCACGTGTTACTAAAAATGCTTCTCAAAATACAAAATTGAGAGACAGCTGCACACAATTAGAGAGTTTCTCGCACAGTCTGTTTGACTTTGTTGCACGCGAACCTAGTAAGGTACAAATCGCAGCACGAGATTTTGCCTATAGTTTGGCACATATTTATATTGCATCACTGCTTGTAGAACATGCTTGTAAAAGTGGAGACGAGATAGATGTTTTTACTGTTAGGAGTTGGATGCAGAGAGACATTGTTCCTGTTGTCACTCAGAATAGACAAGGGTCCTATGACGTCGATATTTCCGCCTACAAAGCTTTCGTATATGAAGGCTATGATGAAGAAAATTTGATCGCTTCAACATTTATAAGATGATAAGGATTAACAATCTCTTTTGCTTTGCAAACTATTTTTATTGCAATTTTTGTTGTTTCGTCACGTTCTCTGTTTGGTGTGGTTAACTTATAAATTGCCAAATTTTCTGAAATCGAGAATAAATAACAATATAAATTAAAGTTATGGAGATTGATGGTGCGTATTTACACAAGAAATAAAATGCTAACTTGCTTAATGACAATCTGTCGCCTTTTTATCTGCGCAATTAAAAAAATTGAACCTCAATATTCAATATTTAAGTTGAAGTTGATGTAGACTATGACTTTTCAGCAGTTTTCTTTGATCAATGTTTGCGTTTCAAGGGATTTTCTCTATAACAGCTCCAGTTTACAACTGTTTTGCAAAACTGTCAGCCTGGTCACATATCTCGCTTGCAAATCTAATCATTTTATCTGCGGGGCGCGGCTAATAATCTCCATTGCTGTAGAATATTAAGAAAATATTGACATACTTTGTAGCATAAAAGCAAAGCTTTCGCTTCTGGAGCTTTGTGACAGGTTGACTGTGGCTGATGTGACCGAGTTCTTTGCTGTCAAGACAGCTTTCTTTATGAAGCGTTGTCTCAAATTTGCACTGAGAGACATTGGGACACATGAGAGACATTCCAAAGCCACATTTATTGGACATCAGGCACATGTTTATAACTTGAAGGAAAAGATTGCTTCAATAAAACTTTCAAGTAGAGCAGAGAGACTTTTGTGGAGTATGGGCTGTCTGGTAGAATCATGAAGTCTAGTTGTTTTCAAACTTCTCCTTGAAGAGCGTTTAGCAGAAGTGTCACAGGCATGAAAGTCTTTCAATACAACTCGTCGAACTGCATTGGTGTAACTCCTGTTTTCGTTGAGAACAATGACATAATGCGAAGTACAGCTACTGCTGTGGCTGTAATTGCATTATTTGCTTCAATCTTCACCGTCACACTAAATGCCCTGGTTCTATTCGTCTTTTATCGCTTAAAGCAGTTGCAGACGCCTTCCAGTATCCTTATCGTTAACATGTGCATTGCAGACTTTCTCACTGGCTGCATTTCAGAACCTTTATTTCTCTCGGCACGGCTTCTCGAGCTCTATGACACTGACAAGTGCTCTGTAAAACAGGCCGGGCTGTTCTTCGGCTATCTCTTTAGTGGAATTTCGTTTATTACCCTGTGCTTTATAAGTATCGAACGGTGGTACGCGGTTTCTGTACCTTTCAAATACGAGTCTAGATTCACTTACAGGAACTGCATTATTATGGTCTTGGTTGCTTACATGGTTTCAATTGTTTTAACTAGCCTTCGCTTAGCTGAGACTTTTCCACCAAAGATTTTCTACCAGTTATTCGCTTTTTTTCTGGTATCGTTAACTATAATATCTTCTTTATGTTACGTAAAGATTTACAAGATAGCAAAAGATCACGAAAGAAGAATACACTCTCTGAAATTTATTTGTTACGAAAATAACAGTGGAGCAAAGAAGAAATGCACGGGGCTAAAATTCTCTTCGGAGGGACTTCGTCGCAAGTTGAACTTGAGCACTAGAGCATCAGTGGTAAAGGAAAGTCGCAAATCCAAAATAGTTATAATAATAGTTTTTTTGCTTGTTGCTAGCTATTCTCCAAAGATAATGATTATGCTTGATGCATTTGTCGTTTATAATGACTCGAAGGTATCATACGTCGCTCTAAAATGGGCAGAGGTAATATTTTTTCTAAGCAGCTGTTTTAACCCTGTCCTTTATTGTCTGAGAATATCCTGTGTAAAGGAAGAAATATCGAGGCTATGCAACAACTGGACGTCACGTTTGCGTGGTCGCTGCCAAAGAGTTCGAAGTTGGCGATGACGCTGCCGTCATGGGCTATCATGAACTTTTTTTGAAGACGATGAACTTTTTATCCTGAAGTCAGTAAACCCGTATTAATGTTTTGTTTTGACTGTTCACCTGAAGTATTTGTAAGTGCGATTAATGTTACCGGTGGTAACGGAAAAATCAGTATTGCACTCAAATTTAAAATAACATGAAGCGAGTAATTAGAAAGGCACTCTAATAAGAGTTGGCTAATTAGTGTTTTAGAAATATTTATTTCAATTGTTGGAGGTATACATATCTAATGTTAGATGCAGTATAGTTTTCACCGGGGCATGTCAAAGCTTAACTATCTCGAATCAGGCCTGCAGCAAAAATGGTTGATTAATGACAACAGGTTTTAGTTAAGGTTACAACCAGCAGCTCAGACAGTTGAAAAAAAGTTTTCATCTCTGCTAGTGTTAAAGAGCTCGCTCATTCTGTGATAATGGCTTAACCTCTCCAATTTTAGAATTTGCATGTCTTCCTGCTGCTGTTGTATTGGCCGCAAAGGCCGCTTTCTTCTTTCTTCAAGAATACGGAGAAACAATTAAGTTGCGGTCACAGTAAATGTCCAACCGACAGGAACGTCATTTCGAGAAAGAGACAAGTTTGAAACAGAAGGTAATTGAGATATAGGGCTGACTGTTATTCCAAATATTAATCAATGAATATTTAATCGAAATTGAATTTAAAGTAGGACGATAAAATACATAAGATAGTGGAATATTGAAATCTTAATACATTTGGGTATTTTCGTGTAAATTTATGCAATTTGCTATATATAATTGACATCGAATTTTGCTGTAAAATCTTTCTTATTTTTCTGTAATATTTTTGTCTTAAGTGCACCCCCTGCATACCGAGGACGTAAGTGAGTGTTACGTCATCAGATAATATCTGGATCCGAGCGGCAACGCGTTATCAGATTTGTAGGATATTGAAAAGTTTCTATTCTGGAGAGCGAAATGAAGATTCTCGTTCTTAAATGGGAATACATGTCTACAAATAAAAAAATTTACACATTTAGAGACATGATATACGTTGGGACGGGGCCTGATTCCTTTTTGCCAAACCTGATTTCCACGATTTCAAGTTTCGGCTTCAAACTTTTTCTCCGTGTCAATCTGTAATAATTGTATTTGTAACGTACCTTTAGATCCAGTTACCTTACTAGCACGTGTTGTTTGATTGAATGAATTATATTGAATTTAATTGTTTCTTTTTCGATATGCAGTTGACATCCGCTATCCCAAACCTCGAGGAAGCCGAATTTTGTTGGAGATAGCTAATCCTCGAAATGACAGATGACCAATCAAAATCTGACAATTTCTAGGTTTTAGATTAGTTACATCAGATGAGGACGGTCGAGATAATGTATGACAGCTTTCGTTTTTTGTTACGCCTGAAACATTGCAAAGCATTTAAGTAGAAAATGTTATCCCATGGTCACAAGATTCGATGTCGCCTTTATCTGGAAACAGCGCCGTGGAGACAGGCTCGTCCTGTACAAGTTTTTATTCTTACGTAGGCCGTGTAGCGACAAACGTTGCTCCTCTGTTTAACTTAGAGGTACAGGCTGTGGCGTTGTCTAGGGCTCGATTTTGACAATATTTTAATAAATACTTTATATCATCAAATCGAACGATGAATGTGTATTCATGTTGTGTTCAATTAAGAAATTATCTACCTCTGGTAACAATCTGAGACACGCAACCATGTCCCAGATAAACATGCCTAACTATTTCTGATCAAACCGCGTTAGATTTTTGAAAAGCGCATTATCTACCTCGATTTCTCAATTGTACCATTTTCAGAATGGCACCTATTCCGTGATTGTGCCAGTTTCCGGTCTCCGCTAAATTTTGAGCTGTGTCAATTTCAGAAATGTCCCATTTTCAGATTTGCGCCAATTTTGGATCTGCGCATATGTCGAAACAGTGCCATTTTGGCTGGGACCTAATGATAAACTTTATAGGTTTACTATCAGGTCCACCATAAGAGATGTCTCAAAGATCATTACGTCACATTCGCAGTCGAAGGTAGCATGTCTCTTTTTTTCTTTAGGTTTTTTATTTCTTTATCGTAAACTGAATGTCGAACATAAACAAACAGAAAATCTATGTTTATCAATATGCTTTTGCACTAATAACTGCTATGTAAGTGAAATGATGACAAAAGAGAATAAATGATATTAGCATCAGTAGGACTAGTATGAACGGAAAACTTGCGCCTTTTTTTAAGTATGTTGAAACAACGTTAAGTTTAGCAAGTAGCAAGTCTTGATCGTGCAGAAAGTCTGGAGCCAATGGTAATGATGGAAAGGCGTTGAAGGGCAGTCAAATCAAGACCACGTGAAGGCGCGATTAAACGGCTGAGTTCACCTCAGACATCTGGAGCACCTGAGCCTGCAGCCAATGTCATTTTTACCCTACGTCTTTAAACGATTTCATGTCATTGCTCAAGGGCAATAGAAGCTAGCCAAATATAACGCACGCTTCCATCTAGTGCTTTCCAGCACATTTCTTGTTTCCAGTGTTGCCACCTTTCTCAGACGCCTACGTATGATTTCAGACTGAGTAATAAGATATTTTATCAATATTTCCATTTCTTGTTGCAAATGTGACGTTCTGTTTAGCCTTTCTAGCTAATACACCTGTTGATTTAAAATATGACTGTTCGATAATACGAAAAAACGACTTCCTTTTTCTAAACTGTTTGGGAAGCATGCGAATCCTATTCTAAAGATCACGTGATACTCTGGTTCTTTGGATTCCGAATTTCCCATCTCATTTTACACTTTTGAACACAAACCTGCGTTAGAGCCCACTAAAGTTTTCCTAAGACCTATTTTATGATATTTCTAACTTTCTTAATGACGATAATTTTAATGTCTTCAATTATTGAATATTGAATGTTGAATAATTTTGTAGCAAAGACCATAGTCATAGGAGACATAGGGACTGAGAGCACTGAAGCCATCCTAATCAGGCAAAATTTATCACATTTCAGGCTCATTCGTACAGCTCTATACAGCAAGCATATTAAGCAAAATCCATAGTATTTTATTGGGCACACCCCCTCCTCCCCTGTATTTTTAAGCCTTGGCTACGACTTTGTTAAAGACGACATTCGTCTGCTTATTAAACCACTAATTTACTGAATATTCCTTTCAAGTGTATAAAACTAGCTATGTAGTTGTGGCTCTGCGGTATTAACATATTTAGCAGTACCTATTTCAATTCTACTGGAATAATTGTTTTGTCACATTCAAGAGAAGTGTCTTTCCTGTACAACTTCACAGTCAAATTTCATTTTGGTTTAAAATGAGATCTACGTTCATTGATAGGTTTGGAGCTTATGTTTCCCTACCAGTATTGTACCATTAAGTTCTTGGCGGGGCTTGAAAAGTTAAGTACATATTTAAAATGACTGAAGATTTATCAACTAGATTCTCCGCTTTTCAAGATTTAATATAATATAATAACGATGAATGTAATTAGATTGCACCAGGAAAAAAATTGATTAAATTAATAAACGACGTTTCGAGCATAGCCCGTAATCTTTAGTATATTTCTAATATATATGATATAAATAAGTGACCTTTTATTCGATTTTAAACACTTAAAACTTTTGATAAACTTTTTCGTTGTTTTTGTGAAGAACAGTAAAAACTGGCAATGCATTTCAAAAATTGTTCATTAACTCAAACGTTCAATATTTTAAAAGCTTACACTAATTGTGGTGTGTAAAGGCTATGGATCGGACATTTTAATAAAATACTGTAATGAATTTTTGGTCTTAGTTAGAATTTTATTTGGCACACCACCCCAAACTACAGGTCTTTTATTGCCCCAACTTTGAAATTTGAAAAATCTCCTAATGTGAAAAATGGCTACAAAACCATTAAAAACGATTCATATAAGCTCCTAAATTACGCATACTTGTATATAAGCTTCTAAAATCAAGACTGGGAAATGCATCAAGCTACCTTTGGGCAGCAAGATTCGTGATTAACTCTCCGTATGTATTCTTGATGAACTTGCAACTTACCTTTTCAGTGCCTAATTTAGTGTGGTCTTGTACACTAATAGTGGTTTTGAAAATCCAAATTGTGGTCTTGAAATCAGGAATTAGTGGGAGGATTGTCTCGCTAAGCGTTATGTTTATTAAAAAATTTTGAAAGTAAATGTAAATTCAAGTTCTCCTTGAGGTGTTTTTTCACATCATATTCTAATCATTTTATGTCTCAGAAATGCATTTTTAGCCAATCCAGGGCATTCAGTTTAAAAATTTTCTGGGCCCCCCTAGAGGGGCCTAAACATTTTTAGGCATAATTAGTGGTATTGTAAAAGTCCCTTGAATTAGGCACTGAACCTTTTCTTATCCTTTGTATTGTCAACAAAAACATGTTTAAAAACAAATAGCTTGGCATTTCTTACAATCACTAAACCAGCTAGCTAAAATTGGATGAGAAGATTGCAAACAGAGTTTTTCATGTCTTGCCTATTCCCCTACGAGCTCCGCGACAATACAGCAAAGTAAGCCATGCTTTTCTATTGTACATTTGCACCCCTAGGGATTATAATTGTTGCTTCGTATTCTGCACTGGCATTTGTTTCTTGTGGAAAGTTAGAAGGAAGCAAGACTGGAAGCATCTTTTAATCATTTGGAGAAAAACGAAACTGTAAGTAAATAAATTAGCTTTAAGTACCTCTTGCTACTACTTACATGCTACATATTCTATTTGCGTACAAAGTTTTTCACACTGTGTGGAGCGTAAGGCCTTATGACTTTAAATACATGTGGCTAATACTATATAGAACTACTTATGTTCCAATATTTAGCTTCTTTTTACATGACAACATAATTTTTAGTAAGGATTCAAACCTATTACTTCGCAGTTCTTCAGAAATGACTTTTCGTCCCACGGCGTCGTAAACTTCTTCGGTCTGCCATCCCTTTTTACTGATTTTGTACGGAAAATCTTTTTACAGACCAGAAAAGCTGCACTCATTGAGCAGCCGACAATTGATGCAATTTCATAAAATCCATTTCCCTTATTTTAGTAGAAAGCAATTTTCAAGCGCTTCTCTTAACTCAGTTCTTGAATTTCAAGAGCCTCCATGTTTTCGTCTCAAGGCCTATAGAAATTTTATGGTCGACGTTTTTTTAATTCTTTGGCGTACGTAAAATGCTTCGAAACAACAACAATGTCTTGTGAAAGTTTCATGGAAATAGCTGCTGTACTTATTTAATGAAAAAGATTTTAAAAGAGTCTATATATAATAATAATAATAATAAATCGAATATTTTAACAGGATAACCTATCAGTACAATATGTACTGTTGTCATTAGGGTCCTGATACTTAATAAATTAATGGTAAGATCTAAAAACGGATTACAAAAGTTCAATATAGTCCAATCTAAAGATAAAATAATTCTACATCAATTAAAATAAGTTTCTAAAAATCGTCTAAAAATAGTTCTAGATTTAATCTTTCTTGCACTTAGTGGCAGGTCATTAAATTCCTTTCCTGCCTGATAGTAAAAACCTTTGCGTCCAAATTCTGTTTTCACTTGAGGCAACTTGACTAGATGTTTGTCGTTTCTAGTATTTTTCCCATGAGCATTTATAACGAAGTAATCTGTCATTGCATCACAAACATTGCCTTGTAAGGTATCAAACACCAAATTACAGGACCTCTTTTTCACTCCTGCATTGATACTGGGCACACGCAAGCTGACAGACGTAACCTTTCTTTCTTTGATACTGGTACTGCATTGATACTGGGCACACGAAGTCTATCCA